AATTACCTATTCTGAGCAAAGGCATTACGCCAAGGTTTACCAATTGCAAGCTGAGTCCTCAACATGTAAACAGGGAAACCGTAGCTTGTCCTCATATTATTCAGCCCTTACCTCCATATGGAAGGAGTTGGACCATTATCAGGCCATAGAGTGGAAGCACGATGATGATGCTAAGGCCTACAGGAAGCTAGTCTCTCAGCAACGAGTGTTTGCTTTCTTGTTAGGGCTGAACCACCCTGTATATGAACCATTGAGGGTGCAGATCCTAGGAAGCAAAGAACTGCCTACGGTACACGAAATATACTCCCTTGTCCAATCTGAAGAAAGCAGGCGGAGTGTGATGGTTACAGCTGAGGGGGAGCAACAAGTTGCCTTGGTTGCAATGAATAACAGCTCAACAGGAAAGAAAGGTGATCCTAAGAAGGCAGATGATAAAGATAAACTATTTTATACCCACTGTAGACGGTCACGACATACACATGAAACTTGTTGGGACGTCCACGGGAAACCCAAGTGGGCAGCAAAGAATCAAGAACAAGGTAAAGGTCATTTGAAAAGAACAAGCACAGCACATGTGGAAACTCAGGACACTCAAGTTGCCGGTAGTACCCGAGACCCCCCTAATGAACCTGACCCCAAGGAGGATATAATGAATTCATTCAGAGAGCACCTGGAATCTTATGGTAGGGCATTGCGGCAAATGGACAGCTCATTCAGTGGTACTCCCTCTACTTCTTTTGCATCTACTTCAGGTTATGTGGCTTCTGCATTCCATGTAACTCCCACAGATTCCCCTTGGATCATTGACTCAGGGGCCTCAAATCACATGACCGGTAAGCCTAACTTAATCCAGTCTTATAGCCTTTTGTCAGGAAGGGATAGAGTGAGACTTGCAGATGGTTCTTTTTCTTCCATTGCAGGTCAAGGATCAATATCCCTTCCCCATGGCCTAAACCTGAATTGTGTATTGCATGTCCCTCAACTTCCCATAAATTTGCTTTCAATTAGTAGCATTACAAACTCCTTGAATTGTAGTGACTTTTTTTGTTGACTCATGTGTATTTCAGGACCTAACTTCTGGGAGGACGATTGGTAGAGGAAGCCTAGTGGACGGTCTCTACATTCTCGACAACAAAGCTGATCTCTCGATGTCATCCTCAAAGTCGCATAGTCAGTCAAATTTTGTTGTGGCACAGTCGTTTAGGTCATGTTTCTTTCGAAATAATAAAATGTTTGTTTTCACTTTTATTTAAGTCGTGTTCAGTGTCAGAGTTCATGTGTCAAACGTGTCAGTTGAGTAAACAATGTAGAACAACCTTTCATTCAAGCAATAAAAGATCAAATGTTCCTTTTCATGTTGTGTATTCTAATGTATGGGGGCCTACAAATGTAATCTCTGAGGGCGGATATAAGTACTTTATTACATTGATTTATGATTACTCTCGCTATACATGGGTAATCCCTATGCGTAGCAGAGACGAGGTTCCAAAGATAGTGAAAGACTTCCAAAGGATGGTGTTTACGCAGTTCCATGTTGAAATACAGATCTTCCAATCCGATAATAAAAAATGAATACTTCCATGGGGAGCTCAATGAGTTCTTCACCTCCCATGGGTCCATTCAAAGAAGCTCATGCGCTAGAACACCACAACAAAATGGTGTTGCAGAAAGGAAAAACAAACACCTCCTTGAGGTAGCCCGCGAGATGATGTTACACATGAATGTCCCAAAAAGGTTTTGGGTGGATGCTATACTTGCAACTGCGTATGTTATCAACCGCATGCCCTCCAGAGTATTGAATTACATGGCCCCTCATCAATTATAGTACCCTCAGTCTCCTTTATTTTCCATCCCCATGAGAGTCTTTGGTTGTCGGGCCTTTGTCCATGATTTGTCTCCCTCCAGAGGTAAGTTAGACCCTCGGTTCATTCCTTGTGTCTTTCTAGGATACCCATCCTCTCAAAAAGGGTATCGGTGTTTTGACCCGGTTAGTCGTAAATTTTGTGTCTATGGATGTGTCCTTTGAGTCCGAGCCATTCTTCCCTCCTTCTCCTCAAGGGGAGAGCCGTAGTGTGGAAGAGGAGTAGCAGGTTCAGGTACCTCTTCCTTCTATTCCGGACCTCACTCTCTTCCGTGTCTTCCAACGTACTCGTCGGAGAGATCAGCAGTGTAATAGAAATGTGGAGCAACCAAACACTGAGCAACTGACATCATCAGAATCCCAGGAGGTAAGTCCAACTCCTAACCCTACTCCCACTGTGGACGACCTAAACATCCCTATTGCCCAACGAAAGGGTGTCAAGTCCTGCACTACCAAACACCCCATTACCCAATTTGTTTCTTATGACCACATTTCTCCCTCGTACTGAACCTTCCTATCGGTAGTTGACTGCATCCCTGTTCCCAATAATGTTGCAGAAGCCTTAAAATACCCTGAATGGATAGATGCCATGAAGGAGAAGATTGATGCCCTCCACAAAAATCAGACTTGGGAATTGGTGGATCCTCCAGAGGGGAAAGAACCCGTGGGGTGCAAATGGGTGTTCACAGTTAAGCACAAGGCAGATGGAACAGTTGAAAGGTACAAAGCAAGACTAGTAGCCAAAGGGTACACACAGGTATATGGAGTTGACTATGATGAGACTTTTGCTCCGGTGGCTAAGATGAACTCGATTAGGGTTCTCCTGTCCTTAGCTGCTAACTTTGACTGGGATTTGCATCAACTGGACATAAAGAATGCCTTCCTGAATGGTGACTTAGAAGAAGAGATATACATGGTTCAACCTCCTGGATTCTGTGCCAAGGGAAGTGAAAACAAGGTGTGCAAGCTACGGAAGTCTCTCTACGGCTTAAAACAGTCTCCCAGAGCCTGGTTCAGTAAGTTTCAAATGGTAGTTCAAGAGATGGGGTTCCGACAGTGCCAGTCTGATCATACACTCTTTGTGAAGAGATGTCAAGAGCAGGTTGCCGTATTGGTAGTGTATGTAGACGATGTCATCATTACAGGAAGTTGGAGCTCAAAGATATAGAATTTGAAACAATTCCTTGCATCCAAATTTGAAGTGAAAGATCTAGGACTCCTAAAGTATTTCCTTGGGATCGAAGTTGCCCGTTCAAAAAGG